TTTTTTTTTTTCTAGTTTCTGACAAGTGTCAAAATTCTTGTTTGATATTCAACCAAATCAATACCAACTCCAATTGAATATAATAAAGTTTGATTTCTTCTTGACATTTTTGTGGGTTGTGATTGTAAGAGTTCTATCCAATGCTTTCTAGTAAAGGTGGAATATTGAGCGAGTTAAAAGAATGCAACCTGAATTGTTAAAAATAGATTAGCGGATGAGACTATGACATACTCTAACTACTGGACCCAATTGTTCTTAATAGCTCCTTTCTGATACACTATGTGTTCCTTACTTCAGATACTCATTGAAGGATTTTATGATGTTAACAATTTACATGCTACTTGAAGAATGTGAATGAAATTACTCGCCTCTTCTTTATTTCTGTAGAAAGTAAGTGGCAGATGTACATACAGCGGCCTTTCTTTATTATCACTGAGGATATTTTTGTCTGCCCACTAGCAGCACCAGTTTTTTTTTCTTTCTTTTTCCGTTGCCCCCTTTTTATGCATATTATGTTTTTAACTATGAATTATGCAGGGTGGGATGCGGGTTTACATTTGCGATCATGATACCTCTCCTCCAGGTTGTTTTCTGCATCCTTTATATCTTATCATATGGGTTCACAAATTGATATCATATTAATTTAAGTATCATGGCACTGTTGACTTTTTCTTGCACATGGAAGTATCAGTGGGCCAGTGGCTTCTTTTTTCACATTACAGTTCATTTTACTGATAGTTATGAACTCATCTCTGATATGTGTCTTCTCTCCTTGATATGGTTTTTTCTTCACATTCATGATAATTATATCCTCCAATTTTAATTATATCTTATCTTCGCTTAGATCTTCAATTTTCTGAAAAGTGAGGGAAGCATGCAAAGCATATGTCAATCGAATTCAATTACATTTATGATGAAAACAAGAATTTAGATAGTTCTCCAGTTCTAGTTAATATCATAACAAAAAGAATGGTGAGTTTTTTTAATTGTGGTATTTCTATAAGCTTTCCACATCTTGTTTTGGATCAACTATAAACAAAAGGAAAATATAAATTTAGTTTCTGGTGTTATTTTTACAAAATTTCTTAGTTCGATACTCCATTTACCTGAGAGAAAAATTAAGGGCTCTTTTGCAGCCGCTCTGATATTACAGAAACTCTTGTTGACCTATTTATGCTTTAATTCTTTTGCTTTTATCTGTCCTAAATTTTCTAACATGTTCTTTCTTTGATGGATTATGCATTTAGATGCATTATTATTCTTGTTCGTCCTTGTGTTGCACCATGTTGTTTATGTCTTCCATTTTTTTGTTTCTCTCTGCTGTATTTAATGAGATGTCTCAAATTGGTTCTGTTGTCAGATAGCCAGCTTATAAAGACAAACCAAACAAATATATTGATTAGATCTCTTATGATAAAAAATCAAAAGGGTGATTCTACTTCAAAAGATGGGAAAGGCACTGCTTCTATTCAAGCTTCTAGGAAAAGGTGACAATGAATCCTTTTACTTTAGATTAACATTTTGATGATAAATTTCTTCTAATATTTTTTTGTGTTCCTCTTATTTTATTTGTTGCTCCAGGGCTGCCGAGAAAATTTTGGATAAAGCTGCTGGAAAGAAAGCTGCATCAAGCACTCAGCTTGGTGCCTCTCAAGGTAAGATGTGCATCCTATGATTTTTATGGGGTATAAAGGGTATCATATATCCACGCATCACAGGTTTGTATAATTCTATGTGATATTTATCCTTTGTGTTTTATCATTCTAACTGGATTCACTGTGGACTCCTTTACGTATCTTGGCTGGATACGATAGTTTTTTGGCATGGTGTTGGAAAGCAATAGTATGTTTGTTTGTTTATTTGAACGAGTTATGTTATGAATGATTTTAGATATGTAGTCCCATCATGTGATAGAGTGAAGGGCAATAATAACAATAGATAATGAAAGAACTACCCCGAAGGGTCCTCAGGCAAGATAGCCTGCCACAAACGTCAATATTCCAGAATACTCATCTAAACTCTTAGCCACCAATATATATATTAAACCCTAATATTTAATAATTAAACCCTAAAGCACATTTAAGAGCCCGCTAACTTAACTAATTATATTAACTAAATAATAAGGATAGTTGGGCCTACGCCCTAGGGTTTAGTAGGAGAAGCTGCGGCCCATTTCAGCCTTCTAGAATAAACTTTCAGAAATTGGTCTTTATCAACTCCTGCCCGGACGGAAACAGCCTTGAGGACAAGGCTGAAATTAGGGAATTGGCCACGTACTTCCTCAGTGTAGTCAATCTACCTCATCATCCCCGTGATCAACCCATTTTATTAGAACCAGTGGAACCATTGCCCCGTCGCGCTCAATACCTCGTCGCGCTAGCACTTTCTCCGGAATAATTAATGGGTCATCTCCCAATAATTCATCAGGAAATGTAGGCTCAACGGAATTCAGTCTCACCGAAGCTTTTAACAGCGAAACATGAAAAACTGGATTGCACCCTTGCGGTACCAGGCAATAAGCAACTGCTCCAGTACGAGCCTCTACCTCAAATGGTCCAAAAAAATCGAGGCGCTAACTTAGTGTTCATGCTGCGGAAAAGTGTCCGTTGTCGAAAAGGACGAAATTTGACAATCACTTTCTCCCCTACTGCAAACTCCACATCCCTACGATGTTTATTTGCTTCATGAATCATGTGTTGTTGAGCACGTTCCAGGTGGAAACACAAATGGCGCAAGACCTCATCCCTGTCCTGAAGATCCTCTACTAATGATTGTGTCCTCACTTCTCGAGGTATAAAACAATGTAGCCTAGGAGGTGCACAACCATAAACTACCTCAAATGGAGTACCGCCTACACTTGATTGAAAACTCGTATTGTAGCAGTACTCTTCCCAAGCCAACCACTTACTCCACTCTCGTGGCCTTTCGGAACTAAAACAACGCAAATATGTCTCAAGGCAACGATTTAGTACATCAGTTTGTCCGTCTCAGGAAGATACGCCGAGCTCATTCTCAACTTAGTGCCTGCCAACTTGAACAACTCTTGCCAGAACGAACTTAGGAACACTGGATCTCTATCTGATACAATTTATGTTGGAATACCGTGCAATCGCACCAGCTCTCGACAAAACAAATTTGCCACAGATCGGGCGGTGTAAGGGTGTCTCAATCCCAGAAAATGACCATATTTTGAATATCTATCAACCACCACCAAGATGGAGTCATGATTGCCCGAACGGGGAAGGCCCGAAATAAAGTCCAAGCTAATGTCCTCCCAAACTCGATCTGGAATTGGCAAGGGTTGTAGCAAGCCTGCAGGTGACTTGGTGTCTACTTGATTCTTTGACAGATGTCACAACGCCTCACAAAATCCGTCACTTGGCGCATTATTCCTGGTCAATACACGTTCGCTGCTAAGCACCGATAAGTGCGGAATTCCCCTCTTGTGGAATGGAATTCTGAAATTAATTTGGTGGTCTAATCGGATCCACTAAGAATTACCAAGCGACCCTTATAGAAAAGATTCCCATGAACAAGGGAGTAATGCGGTGGTGCGGATGTGCTAGATTCCAAAGCTGACACAATTTTGGATAACTTTGGATCAGAGTCAATAGCCAATTTTAGTTGACTCCATTGGAGCACTGCAGCGATTTTTGTTGGGTCCATCTGCACTCCATCAGATGAGACCACATGGCCGAGATACTCGACAGATTTCCTTCCAAACAAACACTTCTTCGGATTCATTGAAAATGTATGTTCCCAAAGTAGGCCCAATACCTGTCTGAGATGGCACAAATGGTCCTGCCACGTCTTGCTATACACCAGGATGTCGTCAAAAAAGACTAACAATAGAGTGAAGGGCAATAATAACAATAGATAATGAAAGAACTACCCCGAAGGGTCCTCAGGCAAGATAGCCTGCCACAAACGTCAATATTCCAGAATACTCATCTAACTCTTAGCCACCAATATATATACTAAACCCTAATATTTAATAATTAAACCCTAAAGTCCATTTAAGAGCCCGCTAACTTAACTAATTATATTAACTAAATAATAAGGATAATTGGGCCTATGCCCTAGGGTCCAGTAGGAGCAGCCGCGACCCGTTTCAGCCTTCTAGAATAAACTTTCAGAAATTGCTCTTTATCATCATGTTTTTCTTTTTCTTGATAATACATATATGACAATAACACCCCTTTTATTTCAACTCTAAAAGGTGAAAGGTACTCTTTACCACAAACGTTAAGGGGAATATAGACTTTCAATATTCAGATAACATACAAAAATATAATCTCCTAACCCCTCGGATGGAATTGTCAAAATTATGTGAGAGTTGTATTTTGCCCAAAGTTTATTCCTGGGCAATTATCTAAGCAAAGAAACATCAGAAATGAAACGACATCTACCTGTATCCTATGCTAACCAGCTAAGTAGACAAGGCCTTTAGGATCAGTCTCAAATTTTCTTCAGAGTTTTCACGGTATTAAATTTGCTTTATATTTGTTGCTTTTATAGTTAGCTTAAGCTGACCTGTACTCTATACATGCGCTTATATGTCTGTGTATGTGTGCGCTCGTGTGCGCGCTTAGTGGTGTGATAATTCATTGAGAATAAAAGCTTTTGAAGCTTGGTTTTAAGTAAAGGGTAATCTTTGGAAGTTGTTTTCCGATGAGAGTCATTTATTCAGGTTCAGGTAAATGTTGTTTGAGTGTGCTAAATAGGACCTTGACTTGAGTTCGTAAAAGCAAGATTGCTTAATGAAATATGGTATTTAACAATGCCCAAATTTAATGTGGTAAGCTGAATTTGGATGTTAGAGATTCCACCAATTCGGCTAAACTTTACAAGCAACATATCAACTTATTCTTGACACTAAGAGATTATCTCTGTTTCTGCAATCACTAAGAGGTGAACTTAAAAGAAAATGACAAAGGATATATATGAATTTCTTACATTATTTACATTTATCAGACTGGTATGGCTGATAGAGTGAAAAAGACCATGTTCTTTTTCTGAATATCATTAATAAAATTCTTGTTGATTTTATTCAAAGATAAAATATTTATGGCATTGGGTGAACATGCAGGGGGATCAACTCGTTTGCTTGACAAAGATCTGCAGAGTTTTACAGTGGAAAGACTGCGTGTTTTTCTAAAGGAGAGAGGCCTTTCAGTGAAGGGGAAAAAGGCAAGTTTCGGCCTATCACGTAATTTATATTACTAGTTAGTACATTGTAGGCTTTGTAGCATTGTTTGTGGCCAAGGCTTGATCATACCTTCTTGCCTGTCATGAGTGTCATCAACTCTCTTTTCTTTTTTTTTTTTTATATATTTATTATTTTCTTTTCCGAAACAGGACGAGTTGATCGCCCGCTTGAGAGGCATGAATGGCTAGAACAGAGTTGCAAGGTTGAGAGGCTAATGCACTCTCCACATGGTAATTATAGTTTTGTGCTTTTGGTATTTGGAAAACCTTGTAACTCTTGATATATTATGATATGGTTATTTACTGTTGGGAGTTGTCTTTTTGTATTATGCTGTATTATTATTACATACTTGTTTCGATGCATGCATCTTATGGTAGGGTGATATTTACTCACAATTTTATCGACACCGTTTCTTTATTCAAATCATTTGAGACCCAATCTAAACCATGGTATCTGTAGCAACTGAAGGATGAAACAGAGCACAAATAATGTGTGGAAAATATGGGCATTATGATATTATGCAAGGGAAAACCAAATTGTCAGTTTCCCAAACTTTGATTAAGTAATGAAGATTGGGACCCAATTGGGGAGGAACATCATTCATCATTGTTTCAGTCCTTGGCATTCACTCCTCTAAACCTTTACTTTAAAGTGCCAAACCTTTACCTTCCCTAACCTTCGTGTTTTCGGCATCACAGTCAAAGTGATAGGAGTTTAGCTCACTTTCCTTTGTCTACGACTTTGCTTTTTCCATTCATCGGTTTTTAACTTTTAAGCCATTGTTCAGCATTTTATTCTTTTCTTTAATTATTATTTATTTTCCAGATTGATTATCCAACCAGTCTTTTAGTAACTTCCGAGGTAACCATGGACCTTTTGTCTACGCCATGTCTTTTTTTTTTTTTTTTCAACATCAAACAAACTTCAAATAAAACTCAAGAACATCGTTAACAATACGCATACCCAACTCCAACTGGGTAAAAGCAATTAGCACACCCTACAAAGGAAGTAATTACAAGCTACGAGAGATTAGCATTTGAATATCTCTGACCAGCCTCCATGGCCAAAGCAAAAGAAAAATTACAAGAAAGACGGTCAAAGAAAAAAACAAATGAACTAAAAGATTGAACAAGGGAATCAATATCATCAACTACGGCCAACAAACTAATCTCTGCAGGTGTTTTGTCGTTGAGCTGCTTGCCAATCTTCATGGAATCAATGCAGCATTCTACTGAGGACTAAGATGTTCATGCAATTTTTGTCAATATCCATCTTACTGCTTTTAGAAGTTTTCTCCTATGTATTCCTTGCTCTTTCTGAATTTTCCTGCCATATGTGCATATGTTGGCCTTTGTCTTCTACTATTACTCCAAATCCCTCAGAACTATCAGGCATCAGGCAAGCACTGATAGTTACAACACACTGTCCTACTCATGTTTCCTCCTCTCTCTGTCTCTTAATTCCATCAGTTATGTTTGAACTGAGCATCATTCCACCAGCTCCCGACACTTCTTCAAATTCTCTCCACTCTCTCCAAGCCCCCTCCACAACATCGTTCTCCATGCATCTTTCCTTGTTGAAAATCCATGCATTTCTTGTCCTCCACAACAACCATAAAAGGTATGTCGATAGGTCTATTCTGTCTTTGAAGCAATCTCCTTCTAGTGTTGGACACGAGGGGTAGACATGGCCACGGGTCAACCGGCCCGTCGACCCGGCCCAGACCCGACACGGACCCGGACCGGTCAAACCCGTTGACCACGGGTCCGGACCCGACTCGGATTTCATCCGGGCCAAACCCGGGTCGGGATTTTTTTTACCATGCCCCGGCGGGCCGGGCCGGGCCGGGCCGGGTCAGGGTCGACACGAAAAAATGTATGTTTTTTGAAAGTTTCTTTTTTTTTTCTTTTTTATTGGGACGGGGCTAGACCCGGGACCGACCCGGCCCGGCCCGCCGGGTCATGGACCCGGCACGGACCTAAGCCGTGCCGGTTCAGGGTCCACCAAACCCAACCCTTCAGCCCGGCGGGTCGGGCCGGGCCGGGTCACGGATTTTGGCCATGTCTAACAAGGAGCGATGATGATCAAGATGTATTTTGCTTCCGAAATGACTTTTACAATTTTATGCTTTTCAAGTTAATTATTAGAACTTATTTTGAAACTATCTTAGTTGTTCTCAAAATGTTTAAGTTAAGCATGAGTTCTGTTTAAGCAGTAGAAAAGTTAGCAGCTTAAGTTTTGAAAGAAAAAAAGGAAGTTTTCAACAAAGCTAAGAAAGAGTTTTTAAGTAAGTGCCCTAAGAAAGTTTTAAAAGTTATGTTTTCGAAAAAGTTTGAAATCTTTCTGAAAATCAGTATATTTTCAAAGTATAAAATGAGAGTGGTTACACTGGAGAAGAACTTGTATAAGCAGAATCTACTTTTTCAGACTATGACACAGTTTTTTCTTATTTTTCTTTTTAGTTCACCGATGTTGATCCGAGGGTTTCACACCGTCTTCTGTACTTCGCGAATGTCTTCGGACTACTAAGAAAAGTTGAAATAATTTCTTTTCAAATTCAAATATTAAAAGTCATCTCTATATGTGATTTAATGAACTCTCCCAATTTTCACCACGTCTTGTTTCAAATTTCCCACACCATTTGCAATGAAATATCAAAACTGTGTGCCCAATTTTGGTAAAAGTTAGGGGACACATGCATCCATTGGAAAAAATGGGATAAGGTTACTCTCCCAAAATCCAAAGGGGGCCTTGACTTCCATGATGTCAGTCTCTTCAATGAGGCACTCATCAGCAAGCAACTCTGGAGGGTTGCTACAAACCCAGACCTCCTGGTGAGTCAAATCCTCAAAGACAGGTATTTCCCAAATGGCTCTATTCTTAGTGCAGAAAAACCTCAAAAAGGATCTTGGATGTGGAACAACTGGCTAGCTATGATGCCTATTTTACTTAAATGGATAAGGACTGAAATCAGGAATGGTGCATCTACCAGAGTAGATGATCTGAACTGGGTTCCTCACCTTAACAAACCAAAACCAACTCTGATAGATATTGCTGGAGGACACTTGATTTGGGTGAAGGATCTTTTGCAGGACAAGGTTGGAATGATTGGTTAGTGAAACAAGTGTTTGATGCCTCAGACAGTGAAGCTATTCTTAAAATCAGAACACTGAATCCTGCAAGAGCTGACATAATATTTTGAAGACTTGAACAGAAGGAGAACTTCTCGTTCTCCAGTACATACACACTTACCTGGCTTCTAAAAAAATCCTCAAGATTTGCACAATTAAGTATTCTGATGTGATTGAGGCAAGAATTTAACTTTCAACATATCTGCTCTGATGGCTATGGAAGTCCAGAAACCTCTAGGGTTTCCAACACTCACTTATACCTGAGCACATTGTCATTAAGGCAGCTCATAAGGATTGGATCGATTTTCTCTCATGCAGCTTACTCTTTGTTGGCTCAGTAGATGTGTTTTTTCTCTTTTTTGTGTTGAAGCTTATGATTTCTAGCTAGGGCAATGGGCAGTGGGTAGGAGCATAGATTCAGTTTGTTCGAATTATTTTATTTTGGCTTGAAGATTGTTGAGGTTCTAGGTGCTTTTCAAGTGCCTCCCTAATGCAAGTGTAAGCGCCCGGGCCCGGTTTGGAGTAGATCGATTCTTGTCCTCGCCGGTAGAACGCCGGAAACCTGCAAATAACTCTCACACCGGGGGTTGGGTCCGGTGAAGAGCCTCCGATGCTTAAGTCAGTATGTGTATGAGTATACTGGAATTTAGAAAATGAATAGAACGTGTTAAGGAAGAAAGGTTCATCCCCTTTTTATAGGGGTGAGATACCTGCCCTAATAGCTGCCCGGATAAGGATACGTGTGCTGCCCAAGCTGCCCGTCCGTACTCTGGCACGCCGCGCACATGTCAGAGGTGCCGCGGGATATTTGGGCGTTGTCAGAGGTGGTTATCGCTATCACCCAATACATTGTCGACACGTGTCCACCCGGCACATGGGGTAAATATTCTCCTGAAGCTCAGTCAGAGACCCTCACGCGCGTCTGCTATACACGCGTCTGGGCTTATGTTGATCAGCTTGCTCGATCACTCAGCTTGCTCGACCATTCAGCTTGCTCGATCACTCAGCTTGCTCGATCACTTATCTGATCGATTGATGGGTAGCTCGAGCAGTCTGATCGAACGTCAGGCTACTCGAACGCCAGTGCAGTCGAACTTTGGGTTGTTCGATCGCTTGTGTGGTCGAGCCCTGGGGCTGCTCGATCCCTTGGATTCCTGCCTTTCGGCTTGGTCTGCTCCCGGTCTGCTCTTCTCGGCCGGCTCACCAAATCGGTTCGTCCTTGTACAGATAATATCCTGTATCACTCCCAGTATGTTATTTTCGGTTAGTAGGAGTTTTATATTAGAACTTTGTTCTCTTTCAGTTTTATATGTAGCATTCCTATCCTTCTGAAAAAAAAAAATAATAATAATAATAAAATAAAAAATAAATTAGAGAAGACCAATTATTTTGGACTTACTCTTTGACTTGGGAGTATATTAGAATTATTTTTATTTTTATTTTTTTTTCTACGAACTAATCACAAAAGTGATTTTAGAATTGGGGATTTTCCTATAAAATACCCCTAAATATTTATATTAGCATTTCTTATGATATAACAGAAAGGGATATACAAAATTGACATTTGATGTTTAGTCTAATTAAAAGAAGAAGAAAAGAAAATAATTACGACTAATGTTAAACATTATTAAAAACGTAACCCGACTCAAGTTTGAAAGATATATTCCTCCAACTGTAGAACTACTGCTAGTCAGGCCTAATCATTAGGCCATTATATTTTTTTTTTAACAAATTTAGATTCTGCCATACATAAGTAATGTACTCTTAACACAAAGTAATTAATTTTACCCGTCTGAATAAAAAATTCAGTAGTAATTCACAGAGAGGCACTGTCAACAATTGAGGAACATCAAAACTATACCATTTCACATCATAGATATAAAAATTATGTGTATCTGACAAAACAATTTTTGAATCTAGGCTCCAAGCATATCATCAATTTTGGCTTCTCTTAATTAAACAACATCACGAATTATAGATTTTCGCCATGTCAGCATCCGAAGCGTGAGAAGCTGCCACTTAGGCTCAACACGTTTTGAATTAATATATAAGGAGGGATTTGAGTTTTACTTGGCTACAAAATGGCATGGGGAAAATAAAAAAATAAATACATGAGTAGAAACATCTTTACCTTTACCAGCTCCAGCAAAAATACAAAGAAAAACAGCCATACAATCATCTCTACAACACAAATCATTTCTGCACACAAATCATTTCTGCAGCTGTAGCAGTGAAGATAATTAGTTCAACTTTCTGAAAAATGATTTAATGGCTTTTAACTCTAAACATTTTGCTGATCCTTGTATGGACCAAAATCTTCTTTCCCGAGCATATAAAGTATGTGCTCTTGGAAATGAAGGTGAAAATGTAAAGATAAAGTTATTGAATTTGAATCATAAATGGCACGATTGAAGGATGGGATTACTGTGGCAGGTGAAGAACTTGTTCGTAGTACTTATCTGACAGTGATTGTGACAGTCTTCCCCAGAACAAAGAAAACAAGCGATAGCTCGGTAAAGAAGATTGTATTAATGAGTATCCGATCAATTACCCATCCAAAGATTGTGAATCCACCAGTATTCGACTGCACATACGCAACTACAAAATGAAGTGTAGCACAATGAGAATCTAGTTAAAATACACAATAACAGGAAAGTAAAATAAAACATAACACAACACGATGTGATGTAAGATAAGACGGTGAAAAAAAAAAAATACAAAAAAGTATATATACGCATACATATATAATGAAAGTAAAGCAACTAGTCAGCAAAGCCTAGATCATTTCTGCATCAATTATAGATAGATAACATGTTAAAATCATTGAACTACCTTCAATTTGTTAATTAAACTTGTAGTGGCCATATAGTTAAATAGCAACTCAAGCATTTGCGATCGATAAAAAAGGAGCAAAGAATAATAAAGATCTGGTGCTAAAACGCACGAGGAAAACGGCTGAGCCTCAAAATGTTGCAGCAAGCATTCTTCCCCTACCATTTTAAGTCTATATTAAGAAGTTAGCCTTAATGCAAATCTTTCTGATCTAACTTTGTATAGATTGGATGATGCACCAACTTATGGATAAAGTACATCAAATCATTAAAACTGTAGTGAAAACTGAAAACACTATTTAACTTGAAATATTATAGTTACTGATAACATTCAAAAATAATTGTGCATTGTTTTGCAACAGTATTTATTAGCATATGTTGTACGATATTCTTCCAAAATATATAATGGAACACCCTCTTTTCATTTTTAAGTTGAATGGGTAAAAATCTATAGGTTCATATGGACTTTGGGGAATATACTAGTAAATGAGTAGAAGTTTCCATTTATCAAATATATGATGTGCGTGAGGGTTTCATGAAACTGAGATTGTACCATACTAACATTGTAAATCATGCAATTGATAAAATTTTATCATACCAAAGGCTTGCCTCCTGTTATATGATGTTGAAGAGGTTGGTTGCACATTTGCCGGCAGAGGCATGTAATCAGCGGACTCCAAATCACTCTCTGAATAATTTACAGATAATGGAGCTGCAGTCGTCCAGAATTCAGAATTTCCAGAATTTTCAACAACTGCAGATCGCGAATCCTCATTAGAATTGCAAGTAACCAAAGCATGCCATCTACTAGCAATTGAACCAAGATTCTGGGCCCTGTGTGATATCTTTGCCGCTACATTTAGACAGAGAACTATTCCCACTAATTGAACGATCGATAGCACCTGATGACAATGAAATAGCAGACGAAGTGAACGAGCGACATTACTTAATTAAAATAACATTCCTGGAAACTAGTCATGCAATTTATTGAAAACAGGCAGTTTACTAGTAATCTATTGACAATCATACATTTAACAGTTCTAACTTCTAACTTTTGTTAGTCTAAGAGCATTCAACATCGGTATGGCAACGTCAATAAGTCCAGGAAATTTAAGTTCAACGAACTTAATAATATTTTGATTTCGAATAGCTATAGAATTGTGGTACTACACTATTCTGTTCAAAGCATCAGGGATACTTACCGCAAAATCACCTCCGTTGATGAAGTTGATGATACCTTGATTCTCTGTTGTCTGCAGTAAAGACATAAACTGACTAGCTGTGATGACTAAGAACTCCAGCAGAAGGAATATCCTGAATCTGTGACTTATTTTCGATAAGTCATAGGATAGATTCATATGCTCCTCTATATAAGCTGAAACGTCTAAATCCCTCTCCAGAAGCTTCCCGTAATTCTCAAAGTGTATTATTTGCAAATTTCCAACCAAATGGAACAAAGCACATCCGGATAGAAAGACGAGTGTTGAATATGACCATGACAACATTCTAACGAAAAACAAGGTGACGGACAACCACCAAGGACCATGATGCATATAAACCAACCGAGCAACCTCACGTGCTGCCTTCAATAAAAAGCAAACCCCGAACCACGAAGCCAGCAAGCAGTAAAAACCCTGAGCATCATTTAGGACGAATGAAACTAAACACTCGATCAGATATCAAAGGAAAAATGTTCAGATAAAACGGGTATCCAGAAATGTAGCAATCCTGTATGAATGAAACTCTTTTCTATGTGGTGCACCAAACTAGACTAATAATAATCACTGTGATATAATACCAGAAATCATGATCAAGAATATTCAAGATCATTAATAAATTTCCTTCTTATGCTACGTTAAATTAAACAGATAAGCACATCTTTCTCTATCAAGAGTTAAAACTTTGTGAATAACTCTGCCGAGCAAAAAAACACCACAACAAATTCTTGCATCCATACACGCAAAATAACAAAAGGAAACTGGCACGAATTTACTCGATAACAGCCTTAGAAATATGACAACAGATCCAATAATTTATCTCCGAAGAAGTAATCGCATTGTGTATTTGCGTATCCTAATAAAAAAAAGTTCTTACACGGATTTTGTGAAGATACTGTTTGCGGAACTGAATGATGTGGCCGTGGCAACGATTAACGAAGAGGGCCTTGCGTATCCCGTGCTTGCTCAGATTCCGGGAGACGCAGAGGAGTGAAATGGCGGCGGTGACCGCCCGGGAAACGAGGATGTCGAGCTCGAAAGTCTGGATTTCGAACTTGTCGCAGCCGCCGGAGCACCTCAGAAGCTCGAGCGCGAAGAGGGGCAGGGCGAGGCCGAGCAGAGAGAAGGCGGCCCAGGAGAGAGTGGCCCTGAGGCAGCTGCCCTGGCGGAAGCCGAGGAAGGCGAGGAAGTTGTCAAGAGTGGTTAGGGATCGGTCGAGCTCCGAGTCGGAGTTCTGCACCTGAGGCGACGCCATCGAGATGCCAGACCGTAGGGAGAGAGAGAGAGAGAGAGAGAGAGAGAGAGAGAGTAGGAGTAGAGTGTAGAGAAAGAGAGAGAGATTTAAAGATGGTGGGTAAATTTGAAGAGGAGAGAGAGAAGTCAAAGGAAGGCCTCTCCCTCTCGGCTCCTATCACCAATTTTTATATTATATATGTCTGTAAAGCGAACCTCCGCGGCCTCACCACGTTACCGATGAAGAGTACAAACAATACCCTGCGCCCATCACCGACTTTTAATTAATTTCTTTTTTTTTAAAAAAAAAAGGTTAATAGATTTTATATTTTTAACTTTTAGATATTTTAAGAAAATTATATCATTATATATATTATATATATATTTATTATACTTATAATAAAAACTAACCGTATGATGCCAAGTAATATTAATTTTAAAAGATAGCAGGAGATATACACTCCCTCTCTCTTCTATCTTATGAGTTAATATTTTCTCATACTAAGAAATTACATTTTTAACTTATATTATGCAATAAACAAAATATTATATTTTTTATTTTTTATTTATTTCTATTTATTCTCAAGCTGAAAAAAATATCAATAAATAGGAGTAAGCAAGTGATGATAACTCAAAATTAGCCAGCTCGAATTAAGCTCACGAAGACAATGACGATACAATCTGTTGCGGATGACGTCCTTGAAGTCGAGATATTAAGAAGCACTTCGGCCGATACAAAAGACGCCGACCTTAAGACATTTCCCTCCTACGTGCCGACCTCATTCCAAGCTATGGGGTAATCACGCCGACTTCTGTCAGAAGCAAGGCCTTCTTGCCGATATCAGACATACACTAATGAGAAAGGAGTTACCACCCAAAATTGGTATTTACAGCTCAAAAGGGTAAAACACTTGCTCAAGTAGTGCAAGTTGCTAGGACACGTGTCGTTATGCATGTCGCTAGCCTCTCAGTGTTGGGTTCTATAAAGATCATCGATATGCACATCCGAATTAAACGAATTAAATCTTAACGAAGCGAAGTCTATAGTTAGGACTAGGACTTACGGTTAAAAATTTTGCCAACTCTGAGGCATTGTAGATTTTTTCTGTAGGGCTGATTCGCAGAGTTCGTTGGCAATTTGGACTTTGCCTCCTCGGTTGATCACGGGTTGTCGTAAATCGATCGGGAGCTGGTCGCAGGTCGTCAATCGCCGATCGGATCGCAGACAGGTTGCGGGTGCACGACGTCGTGAAGTTGGGTCAGTGCGCGTCGGGCGCTGCTGTGACGCCCCGTTTTATTTTAAAGAGTTTACCGAATTTATTTATAAAAATCAGAGTAAATTTTTAGCAAAATTCTAAATTAAAAACCTTAACATTAACGGGCGCTACTTAAAACTACTAACAAAAATAAACAATTAAATAACCACAAGGAACCTACACATGCGTACTAACCATCATAATTCTCAAACTAAAATATTCAAGTTTTAGAAAACATCCCAAAGTTTAACATGCTCCAAAAGTCAAACCAACATGATTCAAAATAGTTTCAAGCGGAAGCATCAATATCCATTGTAAATAACAATCCTACATAGATCATAAGAGCGGAAGCAAAAGACATAACAAATCCAACACTACTCGCTTGTCCCTCGCTGCCGCCTCCAACCATGCTCAACCTAAAGATAGGGAGAAGAAATAAGAGGAAAAACAGCAATGGAGGTGAGCAAAACCTTCATGCTCACCAATACCGCACAATATATTTCGCATAAAGATTCCAAACCATAAATGAAGTATGCATAGAATCCAAGCTCTAACTCTCTATATGGCCCTATCGCAAACCTCCTATGTACATACAACAACCTTCCGATCAGACATCGGCAAGGAGTAACCGGAAACCTCCTCCCTAGCTCGACATAGGCAAAGAGATCCTTTCCAGGAGACATAGGCAACGATTAACGAAGAGGGCCTTGCGTATCCCGTGCTTGCTCAGA